GGAATTATTTGGAATTATTCGAAAAAATATTTTACAATATACTACTTATTGTCCTGAATATCTACATTTAGAATAATATTTTGATTTCACTTCTTCATGATTTTATATTCGATTTTCTTTCTCGTGTTTTTCAAAAGCATTATTCTTTAATGTATCATTTTTCTAAATGATAGGATAAAGAATACTATCATTATTTATTATAAATTATGTTTTGTACTAGAAACACTTTTTATAAAGATGATAATAATACATATATTTAATTATGATTATTATACATATATGATAATTACATATTTTGAATACTATATGTGTCAAAATATATATTTGATTTAATGGCTTTCTATTATTATGATAGCATTATTAAAGATTGAATTCTTTATGAACATCATGATAATGCAAGCTCCCTTTATCATTCAGGTCACTTCATCAGAACCGAGTCCATAATTACTTTACCCCCGCTCGAGAAATAAATCATTTCTCGCCTCTCCTCCCTTCGAGTAACAGGAGTACCGCCATTCAAACCGTCCCCAATTTATATCGGGTAATTGAGGCAGTTTACATCGCTTGTTTTTTATATCTTGTTGATAATGCGAGTAATATGAGACCGGAAAAATAATTTCTTACCATTAGACTTTTATATAAAGAGAATCGTGCCATATACAAATTAACTCTACTAAACAACTCTACTACAAATTATTATCAAGTTGCCGTAAGAAAAAAAATTGATTTAACATTAATACTAGTCTACTTTAATATTAACGTTGATTTAACTTTTCTCGCAATTTCTTGAAAAATTTAATATTCCTGATTGAAGGATAAATAGATGAAAATATAAGAGTTATATAGGATGGAAGCGTCGAAAGCCGCGATTATTCATCACCCGAGATTTTTAAAACGAAATCGCCATCGTTGCGGCCGCTCATAGGTCCATCACGTCGGATGAATGAATAATTATCCCGAACCCCCCCGCGTACGAAGCGAATCGTTTCTCTCGGCGCTACTCCCTTCGCCGAGGAAATGCCTATATACCGAACCGCCCCCAATTTATATAAGCTAACCGACTCGGCGCGCTCCCGACCATCCCCCCGTCGCCCCGGTGCTCGTATAATAATTCCGCGATTCCCTCCCGATGTTCATTTCATTATTTTTTTCCTTCTTCGTCGCGGCCGCCTTCGCCTCTCCTTCCTCTCCTTCGTCCGCCACTTCCACAACCGCTTCTCCGCAATCCACCGCCAGCGTCGCAGCCACCGCTGCCACCGCCGCCGTTGCCGCCGCCGTTGCCGCTGAGAGGGTGATAAGTCGTGACGTCGACGAGGTAGAGGTGATTCCGAAGCGTAGGCGTGGTCGCAGCATCCCACCCCCGCCGACCACCCCTGCGGGGGCCAGCCGGCGGGGTTGGGAGGGCTTGAATTCCATGGGGGGGTAGGATGGCGCACGGTGCACGCTTCGCGTTGGCTGCCTCCAACCCTCCACCACCACGTGGCCGGAACCGGCGGCGCGGCGCGCGGCGGCGGCGGGTGCGGCGGTGGACGTGTGCACCCCGCTATATAGAGGGTGGAAAATCGTGTAAGAAAAACCCGCGGCACTCTGCGCCAACCTCATCGGCCCTATTTCTCCCATTCTCTCTTTCTCGCTCTTTCTCGCCGCCTTCCTACCCTTCACTGTCCTCGTTTTCGTTCGACCCTCCTCCCCCCCCCCCTCCAACCACCGGTAATAGACGGCGGCTCTACTTAAGTGCGGGGCACGCCGTTGCGCCTCCGTCCTTCTCCCGGGACCTCCTCATCCTTCCCCGTTTCGCTCCCTCCTCACCGCCCTCTCGCTCTCCTTCGTCCTTCTTCGTCCTCCGATCCTTTATCCTCGCGCGTTTAAAAGGGACGTATGTATGTATGGCCTCGTGTACGCCGCTTTTATGTGGAATTCTTGGGGCGAGCATCGAGAGAGGAGACTTATCACGCGCTGTCAGAGGAACGCGCACCGCGTTCGTGTATGCGTATAGAAGCATCCGCGCGCGCGCGTGCACACGCACGTCCGCATGGTCCGCCTGACACACCAGCGTCGCGCGCTCGTTAATTTAATTAACCCTACGGACACTTCCGGCACGAACGTGGACGGCCAGCGTGCTCTGTCGTACTTTCCACGATAATGCGCACGAGGTTGCCCCTCGCCCACGCGCGACGTCGTCGTCACTTTCGTTGACCCGGGCGACAGGGTTCGTTGGGAAGACGGGGGTGGGGAGGGGGCAGGAGGGTGGCAAAATTATGCGCGCGGAATGACGGCAACGTAGTGTCTCGTCGTGTGACACTGCTTCGTGTGACACTATATGATCGGTCGAAATGTTGCAGACGCTAATAGACGTAACTGATGTGCAGTGATTTTCGTGGGGTACATTAAATCTCTTTTTTTCTGTAGAGTGTATTAAATCACTTTTATTTAATTTTTAATGATCTGTCTTTAAGTTGCAGTTATCTTTTTAAAAACAATTGGAACTAGTAAATTACAAATATGTACATATATACATATATTTATATAAATTTATATCTTATATTATATATTTGAATATTTATGTAATATACATATATTTAAACAGAAGTGCAATAATAGTCAAAAATCATCTTTTCTTTTATTTTTTACAGATTTTTTAATCTTCCCAATATTATAAGATAATATTTTTGAGGAAAGAATTTTATTTTTCCATAATAAACATAAAATTATATATGTATATATAGATTTTAATACATATTTATACACACAAATTAAAACGTATAAATATAATATACAGTATATTTAATAAAAATTAAAAATTTTTAGCTGAAGAATATCGTTTTACATCAAGAAGGATTAAAGAAACCTGTAAAAATGGAAGAGCAGATAATATTCTGGGGCTTTCTCGTCGCAATTTTTATTATTAGACTGTTATATATGTCATACATATATTACTTACTATACAGTAGTAGAGAAAAAATTTTTGCGATTTCAGCTGAAACATTTGTGAAAGAAATTTTAATAGTCATCAAATTACGATTATCACTCTGATCTCTGCTGATAGTTATAATAAGCCCGCGGCTTCATAATATCGATACCGTCATTATCGCGTGATTATTACGCAATCCAGAGAAGTCGTGGACGATCGCCAAGCCTCTATCGTTCCCGCCGCCGGTTATTATTATTATCATCATTATTGTTATCATTATTACTATACCTGTGGGTTTGGAGGGGGAGCTGCGAAGCAACTCTCCTCTCTCGTCGACGACGATAATATAATTACCTACACCGACAAGAAAATTACATCGTACCCTCTCGCGCTGCCCCGCAAGTCTATGCAACACGGACGCGAGGTACACGCGAGCGCGCGCTCGCCCGTGGTAGTGCGAGATAATAAAGTTGATAAGAGCGTAGAGGGTCGCTCTCCGCACTCCCTACCCGCCGAAAGAGAGCAAACGGGGTAGCGCCGCAGGAAGGGGTGGGTAAAGGCGAGCGCGCGGCGGTACGCGAGAAACGGGGTGCGAGCGAGAGAACGGCTAGCGATGCCGTTCGGGGGTGCGGCGGGGTAAATGGGCGTGGCCGGCATTCGCCGGCGAGGCAGGCGATTGGACGGTCCGCGGGGCGGCTTCGTCAAATAAAATCCAATCGTTGAGACCAAAGGAATGCGAATCTCCAGGCTTTTTTCCTACCCTTGGTAGTACGAAGCGGCGAGCCGGCTTACCCTCCTCTTTCTACCGCTTCCTCCCTCCCTCTCCTGCGATTTCCCTTGCCTGGGGTAGCGCGCCTTCCGTCCGTCCCTCCCGTCTCCTCCCCCTTCCCGCCTTTCTCTTTTCCTTCGCTTCTCAAGGGGGTGCGCGCAGCGCCGTTTGATGGGAGTATGATTTTATTACGGCATTACCGAGCGAGCCAAACCCCGAATTGCTCGGCTTATAGTCCGTATTATCTCACCTAAGAGGGAAAGAAGGGGTGGCGGAGAAACGCGGAGGGTGGAGCGGGCAGCGGGGGGGGGTGGTCATAGAGAGAGGGGAAGGGAGCACCCACCCCTCGGCCGCGTACCCTTCTTCGGGTAAGGCCACTGCCTGCACGTACGTACGGGGTGGCGTTTCGAGAACGCCGGCGACGCCGGTCGGGGAGAGGGAGCTGGGGGGGTTAAAACGAGTGAGCCACCTATATGCCTTTGTGGGCCTTCATTCGAGGGTTGCATGCTCTCACGTTGCCGCCGCCACCACTAACCCCCCTTCCGTGCGTTCGGAAGGCACGCACGCAGGCACGCCAGTTGACATCCCGCTGCCGAAATCGCACGTCCTTGTCGTCGGACGTGAAGTGAAGTTGCGTGGCGTGTGATCATGTGACACGCGCGATCCCGCACGGTGGGATCTTCCGCGACGAGGATCTCGCGGGAAAAAAAGGGGTGGCCAGCTTTTTCCATCGGGCCGACGTACACACGTTGTTGAAAACTCGCCGGAAATTCAGTATTTTCGGATACTCGAACTGTGCGGATACTCGAGTTGCAACGTCAATGTGCATCATGCAATGTCAACGCGGGCGCTCGACAGTGACAGTAAAATAATTAGCGTGATTGAATGAACGTGCGGAAACTGCTACCAATCTTCCGAGCAATGAATCCGAAAAAATCACAGAAGATATGCTAAAGTGTGATTAGTGATTTGAAATAGTTGTGAAGATCGAAAAATTAATTTGGAAGGGCTGCGTGACGATCTTCGACGATCTTGATTTACTCGCAAAAATGTTAATTTCCTATCGAGTTTTACGCGCGAATCTTGCACGAGATGAACGATAATCGGTTGTCAATCAGTAAGTATCCGAAGCAGCGATAAACCCAATATTGTCTGAGATTCATGAAGAAAAAAAATCAATTAACTACAACGTAAGAAATACAATAATTGCTTCGTTGATTAAGTCCAAAGCTAACTTGAAGGAACGTTCCTTTCTTCGACTAACAATAAGAATCATTATATAAGACGATCGTAGTAATCTGTGGGCCAAGCAGCCGTGATATGTTCCCCTCGTCAGCGGCGATGCTGAAGAATCTGCAGCAGAGTGCCATGACCTCGCCCTTCCTGATGGAGAACCTGCTCCAGAGCAAGGCGTCACCGGGGACGGATCTCACCAGCCTGACCTTGAACTGGGCGGCGAGTCTGGTAGCGCGACAGCGCGAGAGAGAGTGCGAGGCGAGTCTCAGACTCGTGCGGGACCGTTCCTCCCCCAACGATCTCGTCCAGGACCACCTGGACCAACGATCCGGCCCGCTCGGCGGACGCGATCGCATTATGATCGATTGCGGCGGCAGGGATCAGCAGAGGTCCAGCGGCGGCGTTAGATCCGGCGAGCGGCCGCACGACCGGATGCAGCTCCTTCACCGTGAGAAGGACGTCCTGGACCGGAGTCAGGGCGTGTATGTCGATATGGAGAACGAGAGGATGGACGGCCCGGTGATGGTGGACCGGCTGTGCGCGATGGAGAGGCTCTGCAACGAGAGGATCGACAATCGATCCAATTCCGGCGTCGAGTCGTGCAACTCGAATGTGGACGAGGACCCGATGCCGGGCGCGGAGCTGGACGGCGGTCTTCAGCCGGCCGACAGGGATGAGATGGTGCTGGGCGAGCGCGTCTCCGCGATCGAGATAGACAGACGGTACGACCTTGGATGCAGAAACGTCATGCACACGTCCGATGAGATGACGATCGTGTCGGGGGAGAGGGAGGCGGCGGTGACGGCGGCGGCGACGGCGGTCGAGCGTGCCGTCGACAGAATAGGCGAGAGGACCACCGCCTGTTCCTGCGGCGACGAGCAGTGCTCTGGACCGGCGTGCAGGACCATCCAGGAGAAGGAGAAGCCGCAGCTCAAGTTCAGCGTTAGCGCCATACTCGGCGGTAATCATGACAGGAGGCCGCATCCCGGTAATTCATTGATAATCATTGAATCACATACTCGAGATGATTGTCCTGGTTGCGTTGGTTCCCAAGAAATTGATAAGGAAGGTTTATAGTCTATATTTTAGAACAGTGTTCCAAGTTACCGAAATCCTTGTTTAAAAAAGAACGGTAAGAAGTAAAAGAAAAGAATGGAAAGGATTTTTAAAAAATAAGGGGAAAATATTGTGAAATATTGGAAAATATCGGAATAATTTATTTTAAAAAAATGCGATAATTGGCGATTCTGATGTTAGTTGAAGCATTGATCAATCATCGTAAACACAATGTTCAAAAATTACAAAATTTTTAAAGTCTAGTTGAAAGAAGAAAAAGGAAACAATGTAAGATATTTTTAAAAATATAGGAAAATTGATTGCAAAAGAGATCGCGCAATAATTTATCAATAAACATTTGCCTGACAAATTCAAGCTGATTATTGTCCTGTTTGTTGAAGAATTGCTCAGGTCAGATTTAGATATTTAAAACAAAACTCAAAATTAACGGAATTTTTCTAATTTGGAGATAAAGAAAAAGTAAAGAATAGAATTTTAAAAAAAATTTTAAAAAGATAAAAGAATCGTGAAAAACTAAAGAATAGAATTTAAAAAAAGATTTCAAAAAAATAAAAGATTTGTGAAATATCAACACGCATTGAGATAATTTATTGGGATAATAATATCATCAGACAAATATATAGTATTATTAGTTGTTAATCAAGCATCGTAAGTTCAAAAACCATAAAATTTTTATACCCACACAGATATATTTTCATATTTTAATGCTCTACAAAAGAAGAGAAAAATAAAAAAGGAACAATGAAAGATACTTTATAAAATACGTGAGAGTAGATTACGAGGTAAGGGAATCTAATAATTTGAAAATATAACAAGAAAGGAGCAAACGCGCATCAAAATAATTTATTAATAAATAATAATATGGCATTAATTGATACGTTCTTTAAGCATCGTAAATAAAACAACGAGATCACAAGATTATATAATGAAAGGGAGAAAATGACAAAAATGCCAGATACTTTGTAAGAAAACATATTTTTAGGAAATAAGAATAAACCGCGGATTACGAGACAAAATTCCGCGGTAATTCTTTAATAAATACAGACAATTATTTTGATATTGTTTGACGCATTAATCAAAATTTCTGTCCGATATTTCACAACTTTCAACATATTAACTGAAACATAATTTTTAGTTTTATTGCCGCGTGTTATTACTCTTACAACTAACGAAGAAGGATAATTATTAAATGTACGAAGAAATAACCCCAAAAGACCTGCACATATCCAAGCCTATTTTCTTTTTTTATTTTTCGAGTAACGAATATAACAGGGATTACTGTGGGGATGAAATATGTTGGCAGTCCAGTAATAATATAGGTACATCTTAAGATCGACGATCGCTGATTGCGATCGCAGATACGTTCGCCCTCGGTGGAGGGACATCGTCGGGAAGAGTTTCACGCGGTGATCGGAGAGTGTTGAAACAAAGCTCACCACAAATCAGTGTCGCGAGCAGACTTCTGTCGCCGGTCCCTAAATCTCATCCGCACACCCTCAAGACGAGTCGCGCAGCGTGCGTGCGGGGTGGAGCGCACAGGGCGTCAGCTGGCCCGCCACTTACCTTCACCCCAATATTAAGCCCTTACGATTGGTGCCTATAATATTAGACAAGCGGCAGGATTCAATGATGTATTGCCGCGTCGCTTGTCGCGCCTTTCCTCGATTCGGGCCGTGATCGATCCCGAATACTTGTCGTTGCAAATTAATGCGAGAGGTGACGGAAAAGAGTAAGGTGCCCAGTAATATATAATAATAATTGTGCGTTTAGCAGTAATAATGGGAAAATTTAGCATTTACAACAAGAATAAAAAGTATTAATAATATAATAAAGCATTATGCTGTGTTTCATATTTTCATATAACAAGTAAAAACCGTTATATTTAAATATTGCTTATAGATTATTAAAATTAATTGAAATAATTATGACAGTAACATAAGCATATAATGCCACGATAAAATTAGCTTTACTATTAATTCTGTACCACTGTGATCCTCTTTATCTTATCTCTGCAAATTCTCATATTCGTCACATCATTTCTCAAGCTGCAGTTCATGATCGAATTTTTTCAGCCGGACAGAGCCGATCTTCCTCCGTCACCTCGATTATGAGAAAAACTGTTACAGATTACAGGTCGTTCCGCGCGAAGGTTACAATGCCGTCCCGTCATTCGCAGAGCACCCCCGAACATTCGCGAGGGTCCGGCAGACCCCTCGCACACGCATATACACACCAATCTTCGGCCGGCGTGTCCTCATTGTCACTCTTTCCTCCGCGGTGGCCGAGCACCCTACCCTCTCGTCTCTTCCGCGCTCATGATTGACACGAGTCGATAAAGACCGTGTGCGCGCGCGATAAACGCGCGTAGACGTACTAGATGCATAAACTGTGTACAAGAGAAGAGAGAGAGAGAGAGAGCCGTCGCGCGCGAGAGAGGCGAGGAGAAGCCTGGCGCTAGTGGAGGGAAGAGGAGCGCGTGTTGGGGCTCCACGAAGGTGGAGAGAGTCGAATGTTGCATTTAACATCGGGCGAATTGCACGCATCTGCCGGCAGAAGGATACGCGGGGGTGGTAAAGGGGACATCGCGCGGGGTGGCGAGAGAGGAAAGGGGGTGAGAAGGGGTGGCAATGGGGAAATTCGGTGCGTTCGAGATACGCGCGGCGGAAGGGAGGGAGGAAGAGAGCGCGCGCAAGAGAGAGAGAGAGAGAGAGAGAGAGAGGGAGTTTCGTGCGTTTGTCGGATAGCGGATGCATTGACCGTGCCACGTGCATGTGTTACATCCCCCTTCGTTCCCCGTACGTACCGACCGAGACCGCACCCCTCTTTCTCCCTCCCTCCCTCCTGCCGACCTCTCACCGCGAATAGACCCTCCAGCATCCATCGGGAGCGCGGTACCGCCGTCCTCCCACTGTCCTCCCCCTCTCTCCCTCCTCCTCTTCCTCCTCCACCACCTCCTCCTCCTCTTCGCGTATACATCCTCGCCTCTGCCCCTGCTCCCCACCGTACCCCCGATGGTAACCAACCCCCCCGTGGGCTTGTACGTCATGTCGAAATGTTGTGAAATAATTGCGCGAAAAAGTGATTGGCAACAAACTCGAAATTCATCGACGAGAGACGCGAGGGCCGCTCGCGGCGGGACGGGAATTTGGGTGAGGGGGGCCGCGAGGGAGTACAGGGTGGTTGAAACTGCGACGGATGATCCAAGCGCGGGGTTGGCGCGGGGGGAGGAGGGGTCGGTGTCTGACGGGCGAGCGACGTTGAATTTCGAATAGCATTTTCACCAATCGTCCCGCGATTTACCGTTCTCCCTCTCCCTCTCCCTCCCCCTCTGCCCTCCCTCCCGCGCGTCCACCCCCGGCCCTCCGCCACCCGTTCCCACGCGAGCCGCCACTCGCGGCCCATGTTTTTTGTTGCGTATCGCAACGATTATTGATATTTTTCGATATCGACTGTGTGTCGAGCACGACGGGCCTGGTTTTAATACGCATATCTCTCGTGGAAAAACGTCGCATTTTATTCGTTGGTTAAATAAGAGAGTTAAAAAAGGAACAGGAGAGGCAGTTCGAAGGAGGAAAAATCAACTGTAGACGATTCTGATACAGAATACTAAAAGTCAGACGTGGTGAATGCTTATCTGTCGAGTTATATTTAGAGCAAGTCGACAAAACGTAGACCGTGAAATCACCGTAAAATCATAAGACACATCGGTGTTGTCAACTTTTGCTAAATACACTGGTTAAATAATACTGCAATAATTGCTGTTCGTAATGGAAGAAGGAAGATATCGAAATACCTCGTCATTAATTTACGTCATCTCGTTGCGCCATAAAATAATCTCTCATTAAAAGAGAGATCATTTTATGGCGCAACGCGAGATTATACGGAGATTGAGAAATGACGTGTAATGAATATGATGTAGCGATTTAATGTGGAGATGGAGGAATTTTTAGATGCACGTCAATGTCATAAACGTCATTGTAAACGTGGGAATCAATCCGGAAGGAAGGAAGGGGAGGCCCACGCATAATTTGATATTATACTGATTACACACAAGAGTCATGAAAATTAGACTGACAATGAGAGGAAGTATAAGCGTTTCTCTGTTATTAAATCATGTCACGTCAATTCTATGTTATTCCCTTCACGGTCGATCAACCGCTCAGGATCCGAGGAGCGTTTTAGAATCCTCGTGAAAAATCGGTTCGCCAAGCCTATCCTAAGACAAACACGCTTCTCCGCGGAGGAAACGGAACGGGGCATCATCGCTCCGTAAACGAGCAGTCCCCCTCTCTATTTTACGAGGCGGAGACCTGCAGCAGCGCAGTATCTAGTTAATAATGCATTCCTGACCGTAATCCGAAAGAATAACCAGCGATATATGATGTAACCTCGTAACCTAAGGCCCCCGAGCTGAGGGGGCTGCTTAAGCCCGACGCACAAAAAAAAGACGAGGGCGAGAGGGGGGGAGGGGGGGTTACCCACAACTGTAACAACACAGCGAGGGCCGTCCCGGAGTTTCTCGAGACCGCAGACAGGAGGTTTAATCTCACGTGACGCGAGAGAAAGAGAGAGATAGAGAAAGAGAAAAGGCGGTGTATGTAGTGGCGTAAAAGCGAAGCGACGGGGTGAGAGAGGGCGAGACCGAAGGGAGCGACTGTGTCCATGTCGGGTAGGTGGGGCGGCTTAAAAAACTATTCCCATTCAGTGTTTCCGTTGGAGGCTAAGCCCGGTTATTAGACCGTCGCGGCTAAGCAGCGCGCTTCTCTCTCATTGGCCGGCTACGAAAACAACGATAAAAGGCGATGAGTATTTTATGGGGTACAGCGCGATGGCACAATGGGACGCCGTGTATGGGCCATTGTCAGGGCATTGTCTGGTTGCGAACGCAAGGCGAGTGCTCTCTCTCTCTTTCTATCTTTCCTTCTCACCTTTTCTTTCTCTCTTCCTCCCTCTCTCTCTCTCTCTCTCTTTCTCTTTTTTTCTTTCTTTTCACTTCGGCCTAGAGTCTCTATTATTTTATTATTTTCAAACACGTCACTTTTTTAGCGAAACCGTTCTTTCGTTTTCTCGCTCTCTTTCTCTCTTTCTCCCCTACTCTGGGCGTGGCGAGGCAATGTTGAAAAAAAATATGTTGGAAATCGCACGGTCGAGGCCGACTAGCCCTCTTACGTGCATTATTAATGTGGATAGGTGGACGAATTCGTTCTGATGGAGGGTGAAATTTCATCGGGGAAGCAGAACTGAAGAGTCGACCAAATTTTCTTTCACACTCGAAAGATGGTACGCGTCAGAGCACATAGTTAACTTTTTGACTGCTGTCAATGAATTTTTTTGCCGTGGATGTATAAAGGTATTGTGCAACGGCGAGAATTTGTTACAATTTAATCGAAAGATTATATTAAATTACGTATACATACATATATGTATATAAATAGAGAGCAGAAAAGAAGAAATATTGAAGAGAAAAAATTGATAAAATTAACGTTGTAATGATTATAATACAAAGTTTGTATCATTTCGTTTTATGTATTTTTAACTTTCAAATTTTTTTGTCTATGTATTTTTTCTATGTCAAAGAATATGTCAATTTCTTAGCGAAAATGATGGCTATTAAATGTTTTTATCTTAACGTTAAATATTTCAATGAAAAACATTTTTCTGATTTAATATCTGCTTGAAATTAAATGTAGAAACAATCTTGCTATTCAGTGACTGAAGATTAATTCAAATTTTTATTTTCGAACAGAATTATCACTTCCCTTATACGAGTAAACAAAATTCTTTTCAACTTTAGTAATAATACAATTGAAAGAATAATCTTTTGATAACTTAAATTATGTAACAACATCTGTATCGATATGTTACAGATATAAATGAAAGTTATTTTAGAAAACAATCTGAGTAGTAACGATTTCAGTACTGTAGAAATACATATATTTCTAGAAGTAGATATACATAAATATTAATAGGAATCTTATAATCACATATAACAATGTAGCAAAGTTTTTCTCCCGATTCTCTCATTTTCGTTATAACAATAAACTCTCGGCAAAATTGCATGTAAAGGAACGTAAAGCGCATAAGCGAATTATACGTCCACACGGTCGTACTGTATTTTACGACGTATTGTATAAGAATCTCCGAGGCGGAGTCGGTCGCACGAATCTCTGGCTATTTACCCCGGTCGGAGGTGTTGAAGCGTGCGCCGACAAGAGATCGGGCTCTGCCTGGAGCAGTTAAGGAGGGCTTTAGTCTCGGGGGTGTCGGCCCGAATTATGCAACACGAAGGAATACGGCGACTTAGGTATTCGCTCGCACGTAAATCCGCCACCCCGGGCACATTTCACCGTGAAACACAGCCGGGGCGCGTTCCATATTTAATCGCTCGGCGGTTTACGTCTCCGTATCTGGAAGCGACGAAACGCTCGCGGAAAACGCGCGTCACCCCGATCCTCGCGTCAGAATTAGTGTATGAATATTTTTACGATCGATGAAATCGCGCTGTACATTTATTGGATTATTCCGATTAATCGATAGCACAACACGTCTTTGACTACAGTTAGAAACAAATTAAAATATTGTAGAATTTACGATGATACCAGACAAAAGAAATGCATGTAACAAAAGAGAGGTGATGGTAATTTTTGGATCTTATGATCTGAAGCATGTAACATTCTGTCTGTGCAGATAATTTTCAAGGGCTCCCGCCGGAAGCGATACCCGCCTTCTTGCAAAATTTGCAAAATTCGGCTGGCTACAATATCGCCAAGCCGATTGCGAGGCCGGCGGCTTATCATCCTTACCACAGGCCGAGTCATCAACCTCCTCAACGGCACTTACCACCGAACGCTCATCACACGCTGCAACAACTGTTCTACAGGGGTCCATACTTGACAGGTAAGAAACTTGCATAATTACGCGAACTATACCATGACGTATAGACAGCACGAAATAACACAAGTTCACCCCTTTCATGTCCAGTTTTTTATTTGAAGGAGAAGTACATGTCTATAGATTAGAGGTGTGCGAATCAAGCATTTGCATGGTCGAATCGAATCGAATCGAATTTTTATAACATGTTCGAAATCGAATCGAATCGAATCTGAAATTTTTACTTCGAATCCAATCGAATCGAATCTCTTTAATTCGAATACGAATCGAATCTGAATCAAATTTTTCCAGATTAACATTACGTTAAGTAATCAATTCGAAATCAAACCATTGTTGATTCGAAATTCTCGAACTATTCGATTTCGAATCTTGCAGATTCGAAAACGAATCGAATCGAATCTACTGTGATTCGATTCGATTCAATTCGAATTCGAACTATTCGCACACCTCTACTATAGATTAATTTTTAGAAATTTTTAAAATCTTCGAATACAAAAATGAAATCGAAATATAAAAATTTTAAAATAGCAGATTTAATATATGTAGAATACAAAAAATAAAGTATCTTTGAATTTTAAATAAGAACTATAAGATTTTCTGTATCAACTGCAGTGCTATATTTCTCTAGTATAGCATCGTATTTGAATAATGTTAAACGGTAACGTTGCGTATCATATCAAGCTTTTTTGTTAATCCGCGAAATTTTGGATTTGATTACGCAATACCTTTTATATCTTGTTACAATAGTATTTTTCACAATAACTTTTTAGCAATAGTTAAAAAGCAATTCCCTTTCAAATGAGTTCTATTTGATCGTAAAGACTCGATATTTACCAAAGATATGATTTTTCAAATATGTCGAGACACATATACATATATCTTGGTAGTGAAAGAGTTAACTGTAGCATTAACTGTAGCTGCAGATAAAAGCGTAAAATTGCTTTCATTTGTTTTTGTTTTCAAATTGCAAACATTTTATTCGCTCACGTTTTAGTGCTAACTTAATTACTTCAGCAATGTTAGCATTATCTCCATCTATTGTCATCTTGTCCATTATTTTTGAACAATTAAGATATTCACGAATCGACACACACGCACACACACACACACATTTCGATATATACACGTATAAATATGACGTCCATCGTATATTGATATTCACAAGTTTCGCGTATTCATTATTTTGTAGTCGCGATACTTCACGTGCAGTTAATAAACAAACGCGGACGGACGAGAGACGCGGAAACACGGGCCCGACGAGCGCGTTTAAAACCGAAACTTCCGCATATGGCGCCAGGCAGCGAGCGCGCGCGCGGCCACGTGCGCGGGGGCCGCGCACACACGCCGGGTTTATCGAATATCTTGTTATAGGTAGGCTCGTATGGGACATGGAGTGCATATGAAGTGCAGTGAAAGCACTACCATATTATGTACATGCTCCGCCACAAGGCAAAATGCACGCATGCAACAAGTGCGTGCAAATATCATCGGTGCAGATAATACCATCATGCTCAGCTTGGCAATATCGCGCAGACACGATCTGGAGATTCAATTGCCCGATCTGTTATTAGATGACTTTGATACAATCGCTATCGAGCGAATCTAGCGCTCCGCGCGCAAGTAATGTTCGAATGATTTTTTCACGCGCATTTTTTCCTCGCGCATTTTCTTCATTTGATATTCTTCGTGTTTTAACAGTGATTTCCAAATTTTTTAATAAGCTAAAAAACTCTTGGAAAGAATAAAATAAAAAGAAAAACTTGATTTTTGTTTAAAAAAATTTTTAAATGGTTTTAAAATGTTTGTCAGAAAAATTCGAATTTTTGTAAAATTTTATGATACAACAATGATTTTTCAAGATGCTAAATACAAGTCCGATATTAAAATTATTAAATACGATTTATTATATTTGATAATCCGTGATCTTTAATTGTTTAATTTACAATTTTTCTGTGATGTAAAAGATTTAAACTTTTATGAAAATCTCACCAATTTTAATCTTCACAAAGAAATTCTTTAAAGAGAGTTAATAACATATACAATATATGAAATAAAATCTTTCTACCCAATTTTTACGTTTCTATTTTAACACTTAAATAACATTAAAATAATTTTTGTTTGCAACTCTTAACTCTAATTTTTTAAAGTTCCAATATGATGGAGTTTTTGAGGATTAAGAGATCAAGCATAAAAATGTTGCAAGTAACGATTATTTTTTTCTTTAATTTTTTTTTAATTACATTGTACGTAGCATTATTCTACACGGAGAGAATTTTTTTTTTAATTTACTCTGAAAATCATGTTAATTGTGGGACAATATAGTATTTAGACAAATTTTACTGTACACTGCAATAAATTTTACTGTAAAATACTTATTGTAGTGCACAGTAAAATTTGCCTAAATACTATATTGTCCCACAATTAACATGCAGGGTAAATTAAAAAAAAAAGTTCTCTCCGTGTAGGCGTATCGTCCCGATTAGACCCCGTTTGAGACTACGCGTGAATCTATTTTTTACTATTATAGTTATTATAATAACTATAGTAAAAAATAGATAAAAAACGGTATACTACCAATAGATTTTCGGTATTATGCCCGTATTGAAATTGGCAAAAGTAGTGTGTCGAGTGCCAGTATCGAGACAGTACACTGCCAATGGATTTTTAGTATCGTGCCTGCATTTATTTTAATAAAAATAGTGCGTCGAATGTCAGTACCAAAACAGTATATTGCCGATAGATTTCCGGTACCATGTACCGGTACGGTATACTATCAATAGATTTTCGCGGGTATTGTGCCCGTATTGAAATTGGCAAAAGTAGTGCGATGAATGTCAGTATCGAAACGGTATGCTGCCGATGGATTTTCGGTACCATGTCCGTATTGAAATTGGCAAAAGTAGTACATAGAATGTCAGTACTGAAACGGTATGCTGCCGATAGATTTTCGGAATCATGCCATTAATAAATTTAAATGAAGATTGTGCCATGGCAATAAATTATCGGTGTATAAAACAACAGATAGCAATTGAACTTGAACATATAATTAAACATATAATTGAATATATAATTGAATATATAATGGTCATTTATAAAAATTAAGAAAGAAGAATTATTTGTCACAATAATGAATAATTTCTTATATTTGTAAGTACATACGTCTTAGATATTTTAATAATATATTTGATATTATATATTATATGTATATTATTAGATATTATATTTTAAATGTATATGTATATTTCATGTCACACAATGCTACGCATGTTACTCAATTCGGGGTTCCGCATAAATTATACTAATTACTTTCTATTTAAAATACATATTTTCTTACTTGAAATATATTATTTAAAATATAATATCCAATTAAATATATTATTAAAATATTTAAAAACGCATGTACTTACAAATATAAGAAATTATTCATTATCGTGACAAATAAATTCTTTTTTCTTAATTTTTATAAATGTCCGTTTTTAAATTTCTATTTCTATAATTATGTGACAAGTTACGGTATTGTTACAATATAAAAAATCGATACTGATTTTTTATAATATTGTGGTACTGTTACAATATAGAAAATCGGTACTGCTTTTGATACTATTATGGTACTGCTAAAATTAAAAAAACAGTACTGACTTTTGATACTGTTATGGTATTGCGAAAATTAAAAAAACGGTACTGATTTTTGATGCTGTCATGGTACTGTAATCCTGTACCATAATAGTACTGTAAATCAAGTCTTGGCCCGTTGCTATAATCCCAGTATACCAACAGTATTACACCAGTACTGGTACATAGTACTGCGCCAATATTCAGTACCCGAAATTAGTACCGGCCCAGTACCTTACCTTACCAATATTCAATTCCCACTTGGGTAACTGCGCTTCGATTGAGCTTACGGCTCCTCAATTCTTAACGAAAGAACCAAAATTCACTTTGATGCATCGCGCATCTCTCGGTCGCATCGATGCCGGCGCAATCGGTTATTTAATTGCGATATTTTTTTTCCTGCGCGTTCTCAACGGAAATAGATCCCTTGGGAAATGACTACGGCATCTTATTACCGGTGACGTTTAGAGCCACGTCGATTTCCATTTTGAGTAATTTATCTCACATATTTTGACGAATTTTATGTGATTTTCATTATTTTTTAAAATATATTGTAACAAATTTATTGTAGTGCACAGTAAAAAAAATAGAGAAAGTCACATAAAATTTGTCGAAATATTGTTGTCCCACGATTAACATGATTTTCAGGGTAAATTTTAAAAGGAAATTAACTCCGTGTACACAACATTTTAGCAACCGCTGGAAATTCGTTATAGCGATTGCGTGCTCGCGCGGAATCGTCGCGATTGTCTGTAATGAGTCGCAATGCTCGCGAGGCGTGTCTAACGCGCGAAATTTTCATAATTAGGATTCGATTCTTGTAAGAGTCTCATTGTCCTTCATGTAATCGAATCCTGGAAGAATAAACTTTGTACGTGTCTCCGTTACACGCGTTGTATTTTTAATCTTTTTGTTACAATTCCAAATAACATTATTTTATTCAAAATTGTTTTTGAACAGAGATTTTAGACGGAGAAAATACATTTTTTTTTACATTATACGACATGGCATAATAATTAAACGTATTCTGATGGATATATATGAATATATACATATTGTCGCACGTATATTATTTTATAATTATTGAGATGTAAAAATTCATGCATAAATTCACTTTTATGTTTATGTTATGTTTAAAACAGACAAAAAATTTGATATACAGAATTTTATTTTCTATTTTCATTATAATCATTTTGTATAGATGCTTGAGATAAATTAGTCTTGTTCCTTGCTTCTGAATCTCTCGAAATTTTCGCGATTAGGATTCGATTCTTGTAAGAGATTCTCCTTGTCTTTCACGTGTCGAATCCTGAAAGAATGAACTTTGTACGTGTCACCGTTACACGTGTTGGATTTTTGATATTTTTGTTACAATTCCCGATAACATGATTTTA